TTTTTTTTTTTTTTAAACTTTTGATTAAAATTTTTTGGGTCTCCGTGTAATTTGTATTTGTATCCAATCCATTTATTTCTTTTTAATTTAATTTATTAATATCATCGTATTTATTTATCTTTGGATATTAAAAATAATTATTGATTGATTTTTAAACGAGAGAAAATATATTTTCCAGATGACATGGCAATCTTGGCATACTTCTTCGGCCCCATCGGCTTCTTGCTCGCTGTCAATCTTCTGTTTTTCGCAGCAACCGCCCGCGAGCTGACGTGCGGTCTATGGAAAGGCGAATTCGTGAAAAGCACCACGGAACGGTAAGTGAATTTTTCCGGATCGATCGAGGCCGGTACGACTGTCTCCAAGAATCTTCACCACCTCTAAATTAAGTTTCGATCCCGTGGTTTACCCCGCTGGTTCCTCCACAGTTCCGGCCGGTGTTGCTGCACACCGACGTGGATATGACTGTTCCCAACCGTATCCACAAGGGAAAAAGAAATATTTACTCGAAAGCTTTCCGGGCGAATTCGTAAACGTATTCTGTTTCTCGCCAATAGCCACGCGGTCTTCTTTTCGCGTATAAATATTTGGCGAATTTTTTTTTCCACGAATGTTTCCAGATTTTTATCTTTTCTTCCTTTTTTTTTCTTTTTTTTTTTTTCAAAGAATAATTTGGGAAGGGAAAAAGAAGAATCAACGATCTCACAGCTTTCGAAATCGAGAGCATCGTCGTGGAAAGTTTCGTCGGTTTCATCGATAGCGATGATAGGATCAACTCGTAAACTTCAAGTCAAAAATCAGTTTAAATTTAATTTAAGATATTCGCTTCGTGGAATTCGATCATTATTAAGAGACGATGCTTCGTATTGTTACAAAAATTATCCAAATTTACATTTTATTTTTTATACATCTATTATCATTTTAGAATTTATCAGTGTTCTCGTCTTTTTAACTAGCTTTAGATAAGATGACATAGATTCCAAAAAAAAAAAAAAAACGAAAACGAAACGATTTTCCAATTAAATTCGAACTTGCAACGAGCTCGATCCCATCGCTACGCACGCGCAAGACCCGGATACAAGTCCAAGTTATTTTCAGTTTCCTCCGAGTTTCTCGCCATTAGGCCGCGATGCGTTTACGGAAGATCTAGATCGCGTTTGATACCCTAAAACTTTCCTCGGCTACTTTAAATCCGATATAATAGCCAACCCTGAGAACCCGAATTATCTCGAGCCCTGATCTCCCATCCGGACCAATGCTATGGTCTCTCTCGGTCACCGAGAGATAGATTAATAAACTGAGGGAGAAATTCACCACTTGGGAAACGCGAGTGTTCGCTAATCACCGCAACCTCGCCTCTGAAAAGTTGAACAGCGAAACGATTACGCGGTGCTAAACTTCGAGAAGTTTAAAAGCTGCAATAGCGCGAGGTCAAAGAAGTTTGTTTGCACGGGAGTGGAGGAGGAGGGGGCGATACGCAGGAACGATTAACACAGGCGGTAGAGAAACAGGCGGAATATGGGGGCTTTTATTGGTCGTGGGATGGCGCACGATGCTTTATTTCGGCTCGAAGGACGGAGGTTCGATAAAGATCAAGGATAACTGGTTCCAACGGAACCAGCGAATATAATCATCAGAGATCAGCGAACGCTTTCAATTACGAGCTTCGATCGAATATTTTGTCAAATTTTCCCACGTCGAGGGAAAGTAGGATTTTGAAAACTGAGGGAAAGTGAAAAGTATGATACGATGCGGAAGGATGGAAGGATCTAGTTTTGGGAATAGGGTTTGGAGAAGGTTGCACATGATTGAGGATTTAATATATTTAATATGAGGATATGCATATAGTGATACATAAGATAGAATAATAAGATGATAAATAGGATTTCTTTTTCTAAATCTCGCAAAGATGTTTCATTTCGACGGAATGGGTATATATAACGACCGTTTCCACTTTCGATTGGAATTCGAAGGAAATAAACGAGCTGTTTTATTGGGAATCGACGAGTTTCCTTAGACGAAATCGTATTTACTAATAAAAAGAGGGAAGACGTAAAGGAAGAATTGGAGTCGATTTCTTTTGAAAAGAATTTAAATAAAATTTCGATATACTATATACAAACAAATATTATCATTTTGATAACGTAATCACGAAAACGTGGATGAATTTCGGAGAAACTGGAAGAACGGATGGGCCAGATAAATCTCTCGATTCTTTGAGGAAAATGTCCAACCGGACGTGAAAATATCACGTTTCCTGTCCTTGTCTTTTGATACAAGGCGACCAACATCGTTTGACGAATCACATTTTTTTTTCTTTTCTTTTTTTTTTTTTCGGATATTTATGCCTGGCAACCGACGACTTTTTTTTCCAGAGGGGGTTCAAAGGAGAATTTATTTTATCACGGCCGCGCCGACAGATATCAGGCATCGAATCGTTATTTTCCATTCGTACGCCGTCCCTTCGAACCACCTTTGCTCCCTCGTCCCGTCGAAATTGATATTGACGATCTCAATTTGCGATTCTCTTTCGGCCATGCCTCCCCCCTTCACTCTTTTCGATCCCTGTCTGCGGAGGCAGACAGAGGGACACGCGCCGACCATAATGGCGGATAGAGATTCTCTCGCGTTCCATTTTCTTTATTTCATCTCTCTCTCTCTTTCTTTCTTTCTGTATCCATACTCTGTTCGTAATTTTCGAGAAGCATGATGCTCTTTTTCGTCCGCCACCCATTAAGCATAATTCGAATATTCGAACCTGTTCGATGCAAGGGGTGAAAAAGTTATGGTTTATCCCCCCCTGGATCGTACGATTCCACGTTTGATCTAGAGAATTCTAGAAAATTTTTAAGTGCGAAAAATTATCGATCGATGAAAGGTTACTTTTTTGGTGAAAGTGGCGAGTAAATTGAATTACAAGTTGATTTTTATTTGGAGGATTATTCGGTTGAATTATGAATGGAAATATCGTTGAAAAATATTTGTTAATTCTTCGATGCGATTAGTTTATTATATTTCTATGTAAAATTCGAGAGATTTTGAAAAATTGATCAGATGATGCTTCGTTTCGATTTCGAGGGAATAAAATTTCAAGATGGCTCGAGAAAATAAATTGTGTAATTTTTACACGGACGTGTCGTTTCGATGAACAATAACATCTTTAGTTTTTTAATTCGAATAAAAGACGAATTTCGAATGAATTCACGAATGTACAATAGAAAACGAACAAATGAAAACTTTTTTAGAGTACGAAAATAAATATCAGACGTAAAAATAGGAACGCCTGTGATTTCTGTCAAGGTTAATGCACGGATCTATGTTGAAGCAAACTTCACAGCGGTATATTTAAAAAATATTCGATGTTGAATCGCGAGAAAATGAAAATAGAAACTCGAATAGAAATAGATACACAAATACTCGAAGCCATTTCTCTAAACTCTCTGCAATCATTTTCTAACGATATGTTTCAATAAAATTAAATCATAAAATTTTAAGAGCGCATAAAAATGAAAAGAAGAAGAAGAAGAAGAAAAAAAAAAACTCTGATTATGCGTAAAACATTTCATTGAATAAAAACAATATTAATACCGGCTGTTCGAGCAATCTTCCAAATTCCAAAAGAGAAAAAGATCATTGAAAAAAGAAAATTATGTTCATTCACGAAACGTTCAGTGAATGGTCGGCGTCGCCTGTGGTCTATCTGTTCGCGATTTAAAACTGGGCGTCACTGCCAAAATAAACGGGTCGCAAATAAAGTTCGGCGGCGGTGTAGTATCGCGCCGCTCAAAGAAGGCGCAAAAAGAAGAAAAGGAGGAATCCCTTTTGAATTATGCCCGACCCAGGAGCGACAAGGTTACCGGTTGAATAAACGTGATAAAACACGCGCTATAACCGTCAGCCGGACAGATGCGGTCGCCATGATTGCATTTTACGTTCCTCCGCCCCTCCTTCTCCCCTTCTTCCTCTTCTTTCATCTCTCATCGAATTATTTCTCTTTCTCGAATTCGTCTTCGCATCGTATAAGAGACGTAAGATCGTAAAGTAGAGGCTTACGTTTTTGTCAGCCTTTAGAGAAAACGGAGGCGAGTAAAAATCTTGTATATTGATTCACTTTTGAACTTTGACCACTAATTCCTTTCAGAATGTAAGAAATGAATTTACGATTTTATGACCATGGTATCACGTGCATGGCGATTTTTCTCTTGCCCTACGATTTCTCTTCTGAGTCACTTATAGAAAGTCATATTTTTACTTCTTTTTCTCTTAGATTAATTCTTAAAATTAAAACACGATACGATCTTCGATTCGAAGTTGTGATGATAGGATGACGATCACGATTTCTGGACAAACGTCCATTGCTTCGCGTCGATCTAAGAATACTTGAAACTCGTAGGAAGGGAGTTGGAACTAATTAATCCCGTTTGATCCGTTAATCCGTTAAGGCAAACTCGATTCCGTGCGGCGATGTTCTCCACAATGCGGCCACAAAGTTTTCTCGCAAATTGCAATCGTCACGGATTGAACGTGTTTCCTCTTTCTTCTTCATTATTCCGCGATAATTATAATAAAGAACATCCGTGATGATAATAAAACGAAACGTCCAGACGAAACGTTTCTCGTTAAACTCGTTTCACGAGAGTGTAACGAGCGATCGAAGCATCG